CAATACTTTTACGATTGTCCCAAAATCGATTTGTTGAACTCGTACTGCTTTTTATTTAGATGACTGCGGTAGCTGTAAATGCATTGTGATTTGATTCTAGATACGTCCGTCGCCACAGAGTTGCGTTCTGCGATCGTATCGACTGCCAAAGTTAGGCCAAAATATGAATTTTATAGTGAACTACGTGCTTTCTTACAGAGAATACTAAATATATTAAGTATATAGATTTATATACGCTAGCGTTAAGCACAAAATGTTTCTATGTAGGATATTTTTCTTGTATTATTATAGTTAATACTATTTTTTACTATTATGCTATTTTTAATGTTATTGTTGTAATTTTCATGTTTTTTTGACATCTGTATTATGAAACGAAGGAGAATACTAAATTCAAAGTAGCTCAGTGGTTCGGTAGCTCAGTGATTTGGTACCCCACGCCCCTATTCACAAACGATGCTTGCTTAAGTGAAGCAGCAAATCGAACGCACAGCGTTGAATAAAGTCTCAACGTTGAATAGAGCTGAGTCTGTCTCTGACTCTCTGCTCTCTCTCATTGGTTCGTGTGTCACCCTGTGCGTCCACAGAGACCTCATAGTAATGTTTATGAATACTGGTGTCAGTGTTTACAGCTGTCTGGAAAATTACTGGTCATGTTACTATCCCAACTAATATTATAAATGCGAAAGTAACTCTGTCTGTCTGTCTGTCTGTCTGTCTGTCTGTCTGTCTGTTACGCTTTCCCGCTTAAACCTCGCAACCGATTTTGATGAAATTTGGCATGGAGATAGTTTGAGTCCCGGGAAAGAACATAGGATAGTTTTTATCCCGGTTTTTGAAACAGGGACGCGCGCGATAAAGTTTTTCTGTGACAGACAAAATTCCACGCGGGCGAAGCCGCGGGCGGAAAGCTAGTTTGAAATATTTTTTTTAGTGATCTAAACATGAAAATTCAACCAATCGCAGATTTTGAATTGTGTTTGTGCTTCGTTTCATCTTACAGTGTGCTTAGTGCGAGTTTGCATTGAACTTTTGCTAGCGAGTGCGTCAAAAATCTATGAAGGCTTTAGTTTTTGAAAGTATCCGCTAGGGACGCTGTACAATCTGTCTTACGTTTAATATTTTTTTTTTACGCAGTCGCTAGCGATGACGTTTGATGTAAACTCACACTAATGCCCGTTGTCACCATCAATCCCTAATTTTTAAGTGACTCCTATGAAAACTAAATTCCTGTTAGTGTTACCATAGGGGTCACTTAAAAATTAGGGATTAATGGTGAAAACGGGCATAAGCCCCTGATGTAAGTTTAGACTGTTGAACTTTGTCGTTTCCGAATTAATTATTAGTAGATCAAAATCACATACAATTTGATGTATGACCATTTTTATGAGGCACTGTTGCGTGTAGAATGCGTTGATTTGTATGAACTTCGTTTCGTGAAAGTAATGAGGTAGGTACTTAAAACTTGATTGATTGATGATTCCTTGGCAAAAAATAAAATAACAGTTATAGCCCATAACTGAGTCAGTGCCTGAGGTATGAAAGGGGCACGGGAGGGGTGACACATGACGTGACAGAACATACAAGCAGAGTAAATACAAATGAGTAGGTCATCTTCATAAACTCAACATCAAATAAATCGCACCTCCCGCAACAAGCACTTTCAAACGCATACATCCCCACTCCCCACCAATATTGGCACCATTTAAAAGCCTAGTTCTAAGCTTCATTTTATTAAAGGAAAGGTTTTTACCCCAAAAATGTGTCTTTAGAAGGATCCAGAGTCACTTCTTCAAAAAATAGGCTATTACGCTTGAGCCAACTTTTATGGCTATAAAACTGTTAAGTTGGGATTAATCGGTATCCATCTGTTAAAGAGGACACGTGTGATCGTTATTTGGTTTTATAACCATAAAATTTGGTCTAATTGATCCCACAGGTGAGCCCAAAGTGAGGTCTCTTTTCAAGTCACATTTATGGTATATGATAATCATTTATTGAGAAATTAAATGTGTTTTTCTTTAAGGATATTTATTGGGCTTTCAAATAACACCAATATTGTTGGGGCACCATGATTGTGTCAGAAGAAAATCTTTAAAGTTCGCGTCGCGGAAGGTGCGGTTTATTTGATGTTGAGTGTAGAAACGCATCTAACCTAACCTAATCACCGAGCGCGGTTTGTAAGTGAGCGCGCCAATACGTATGCGGCGCGCTCACATACAAACCGCGCTCGGTGCGTTTCTATGAAGATGACCTACTCATTTGTATTTACTCTAATACAAGTCTGAAGCACATCTGAAGTCTTGCTGACGTTTTGATCTCACAAAAACCCTCTCGTGCCTCTCTCATTACCTCAACCCCCTTTAGACAAAACGCACTTTTTGATCGAATCGAAAATCGAATCCGTCAAATCTCCATACAAAAAAGGGGCTTTTCGACCACTTTTCGACTGGTTTGCGATTATAATTTGCACTTTATCTACACCCACAGGTATTGACTCATTTATGCGCTAGACTGTAGTCTGTTATCTTTTTTTGATATTGTAACTGGCATTTGTGATTTAGCATTTTAGTCCATTCATTTAAAAACTTACTTTTGTGATCCATCCAATATGAAATTAATAATAGTGATACTAAATTTTGAAAGACTTAATTTGCAGTCGATTAGGGGCTGATTTTTCAATCGTCAGATATCTTTTAACTGAAGAATAACATTGTCATTTTGACATATTTCCCATACTAAAACTGTCAATGTGCAAAACTTATTCTTCAGTTAAAAGTTATCCGAAGATTGAAAAATCAACCCTAAGTGGTATTTTTTACCATTCTCCAGCCCTTTAGGTAGAAAGAAAAAAACATTTTCTTCTTAAAGCAATAAGGATAAATACACTGGCAACTATATTTGCCATTGTCATGCACAAAATTGTTGTTGTTAAATTTTGTGTTTTATAATCAAACATGATTCAATTTTTATCTATATTTATCATGATTTCAGTGTCATAGCGTAAAGTTGTACAGCATACGAAAAGTCTTTTTAAAACTTTATTCTAAAGACGTACAGTTCAAATTTCATTATGCGGATTTGTCAGTTTGTGTGAGGTTGCTTGCGACACGTTTTAGGATATTTTATATTAATTTCAAATGAATTTATAGTACATTAATGAATTTATTCTGACGGTAAGATATACTACATTTATTCATATTATTTTTATAGTTAGGTAATTTTAATCTGTGTACTAATAACGATAACGTTATTTTATGGTACCGATAACGTTATTTTTTGGTACGAGTAATTTTATATTCCTTTTATATTTAGTTCTAGGTACTTTTTGTATCTGTATATTTTTTATTTTTAAATAAATATAAAAATGTATATTTTAGGTACGTTTTCTAATATTTATAAATTGTGGTTACCCCTGAGGCTCTCAACTGTTATTTTATATAACTAATACAAATATAAACTAATATAAATCTTATAAAAGGCACCGACAGTATAAACGAATGTGACGATCGATTTTATTCTAATTCTTGCCAAATGTATTTATTAATAAACTGCAAGATTCTTTTGGTAGAAAAGTAATGTGAAAAAATATGATTTTTTACTAAATGCAGGAAATCATTGGGGGAGGCCTATGTTCAATAGTGGACGTCCTGTGACTGAAATGATGATGATATAAAAATCCTGTTGTTATAATTCAAAATAAGACAAAGCTCCCCAAATAATAGGCTAGATGACAAAATTTCAATTATTTGTCCGTCAGACAGATAATTAGAAAATATTACACTCGTATTTTTATTTTCTTTCATAATTAAATAATAACAGTGCTACATCGAGTTGAAGTGGCGAGTTACGTCACGCGTAGATTTTTTACTCAAAAGTGACGTCACGCGACATTTCAACTCAATATAATTGTAATTATTCGATTATGAAAAATATTAAAAAATGCGTGTCCAATATTTTCTTCATCATCATCCCAATTCGACATTATTTTTCTACTAACAGAAAACTGGAATTTGTTTGTAAATATTTATGTATTTTATACAAATCAATTTTGTGATATTTATACATTTATGTATGCATTTTAAGAGGCCATTCCATTGTCATTCCTCGATTCCCAAATTGAATGTGTACTCTGTAAGACATTTTTAAATAAATATTTTCTATTATATTCATTGTTTTATTGTATTTCATTATTATGGTCAACCCGGAAAGGGATCAGTACCGTATGCGCCTTTCGTCGCGCTGTTAATCGCTAGGCGAAGTGTTTAGCTAGGATAAGTGTACAGTATGGAGTTACATACAAAGAATACTGACCTCCTCGAGTTGATAGGGTTACGATCCGTTTCCGAGTTAATAAGTGTGTTTCGTCCTTTATAGATTGAATAACAGTAGGCCTATTTTTTTTTGTAAAAATACAAATCTCTGTTGATTAAAATTATAATAAATAAGTAGAAAAACCGATTTTCTGATGTATAAATTAGAATTTTGATAGAACATAATATTTTATGGGTATTAGAAAACTTGCCTTTCCGACTGAAAACATTGGCACAATACTTACCTAATATTGAGACTCCATCAGAACCTGCAGTTTTATTGTCATCCAGCTCTTGTCAGATATCTTTTTGAGGTCGTCGGTCCATCGAGCAGGTTAGGTCAGGCTAAGCTACCTTTGTCAAGACGTGAACCACTTGATCGTGCTATGGCGCTATTAAATAGAACTATACTCACTGTGACATCAAAGCATGCAGGATCGAGCCAATCTGGAAATCATTATAGGAGGGCTCCAGCCCCTTCCCGCGACCTTCACCAGATCGTCGGTCCACCTAGTGGGAGGCCTGCCTACGCTACGTCTTCCGGTCCGTGGTCGCCACTCGACAACTTTTCTGCCCCAACGGCCATCGTCTCTACGAGCTATGTGCCGCCCACTGACACTTGATTTTAGCAATTCTGCGGCTATGTCGGTCACTTTTATTTTTAACTAAAATCCACTTTATTCTTTACAGCTCGAGCCCTTTGCAGAAGAAGAAGCGGGCGACACAGAGGAAATCAACCCAAAACTTATCCTCACTCCAGAAGAAATGACGCCATCTTGCGAAAAACACCCTAACGGTTCTCCACCTATATTCAAGAACCATTCGAACGCGAATATTGAAGAAAAACTATCACCTAACCGACCAGACAGTTTCGTCAGATCTGCCAGTGCTGCTTTGGTCGGAAAAGAAGAAAGAACTAGGAAACCCACTCCAGTTTCTTCAAAACATGGTTTACAAAATATATCAAGTAAAAACCACCTGCCTAGCAATCCGTCCTTGCTAGAATCAGTGCCAGAAGGCAAGGCTAGCAGAGTGAACTCCACCGAAGCGTTTGGAAAGAAGCTGACTGTTCCGAAAACGCCTAAAAGAAGCCCTTCGACGTCTAGTTTTCAGTATATGTCGACGCCTTTTCATGGGTCTACGTTGTCTGCATTTGAAAAACCCAGTGAATTCGCTTCGCAATTCAGCTTGAAGTCTGTGACTGAGAGTCTAGCGCCGATCACGTATTGCTGTGGATGCAAAAAGAAACCTAAAGACGATAACGCCAAAAAAGAACCCAGCAAGTATTTCGACGTACAGTTACTGAAAGATCCGATTTATTTAGTGATTTTAATATCGAATTGTACGTGCGCGATTTCGTATACGAACTTCATTATTCTAGTGCCGTCCTACGCTAAAGAATGCGGTTTCGATAAATCACTAGGAGCGTACTTATTATCGATAATATCCTTGCTCGATTTGATCGGGCGGATAGGCGGGTCAGCTTTATCGGACGTAGTGTTGACCCCGAAACGGTATTTCTTCATTTTCGGTCTCTTGCTTTCGGGTATCAGCTTAGCGATGATACCGTTAGTGTCAAGTTATTCGGCGATAAGTGCGTTCTGTTCTATTTTCGGTATCGCGTCTGGTATTAACGTAGGTGTGACAGCGCTAGTGATGACAGAGATGCTCGGTACCGAAAGACTGATGTCTTCTTACGGTATCAGTTTGTTTATGAATGGTATCCTGCAGTTGATAGGGCCTCCTATATGCGGGTTTTGGTTTGAGTATACCCAGTCTTATAAATCCTTATTTGTGACACTTGGTTTTATTCTAATAAGCGGCGCAGCGTTGTGGGGTTTCGTGCCCTTAATACATAGAAGAAGACGGTTGGCGGAAAGAAGAAAAGAAGTTATAGATAAGGCGTAACTGTTAATTTAGCTCGTATGTCTATGTGCGTATGGTCGAAAATCGTTTAAGGTGAAAGGTAGAGAATGATTTTTTAGCGGGATTGCTTACTGAATTCGATATGACTCTCAAGGTCTACTTTAATATAATTATTAAGGTTTTAATAATAAAAACAGTTACTAAACGTATTTTATAACTAAAGTATATTAAAATACTTTAAAGTAGCCACGCTTTGCCTTTCATAGAAAACAAATGTAAATATTTATTGTAAACTTCTTTAAAAGAAGATAACTACTAACTTATTAATTTTAATAATGTCTCGACTAGTGATGTCAGTAAGCAATCCTGGTGGAACAAAATATATCGATAGATTGAATTTATGAAATATCTATGAGATGATACGTGATCGAATATATCTGTAGACTGATATACACGCTTGTACTGTCGCATTTTAACGAATTACTCAAACCCAGTCATAGTGTAATATTTAATCTTATTAATCATGTGAAATTATTAGTATTTATGAATTTATTTCTAAATTACTGTTTAACAATCTCTTATAATAGTCTCCATAAAGTGATAATAAAACAATTATTCTGACAAATACCAAAAAATATCGACATCACAAAACGGTACCATATTTTCACATCACTGGTTTCAAAATATAAATGATGTGACGTTATCAAATTTTTTCATTGACCTTTCATATTATGTTTTTATCGTAGAAAACATATTTTTCTATATTAATGGGTTGGGTAGGTTTTAATTTGTTTTATTGAGAATCTTTAGGCTTAAGAATTTATGTGAAAAAAATGTAATAGTGCTGAGCGCTACCGAAATAAGTATCGACGTTTTTTTTTCTAACAAACGCTCATCACTATTTTTTAATATTTAATTTATTTACGAATACTTTTTATAATCTTGTACAAAATTAAAGTATAGTTAACAGCACATTAAGTTAACTAAAACAGTGCATATCTTCAATGAATTTGAAACTTTATTTCTATCATGTAAGGTTCAATCATTCAAAGTCAATTGAAGAAAAACATTTCATTCTGTGTGTGCTGTAAACTATACGAATGCAGCTTCCGATTACGTAGCTATTATTAATAACTCATTTATTATTATAATAAACGAATATATTATTATTATGAACTAATCTTATGCCTTTAATTTCAATACATGTGTCCTCTGTATTGTCTGTCTGTTTACGATGAATTAAAAAACCGCTGGACGGATTTTCATATTGTTTTCACCAATAGATTGATAAAATTCTTACAAATATCGCGGTAGCTAGAAGGCAACTATTTACCCGACGTCAAATATGTAGGTAATGTTTTGTATTCTCATGAGCCATTTTTTTATAGAGAACAAAGCAGGTATTGGACTGCAATCCCACCTGATGTTAAGTGAGATGCAGTCTAGGATGGTACATATCTGCCCTGCAAGTGTCTATTCACTCTCGCCTTGAGGCAGCGAATACCAGTCCCTGTTCGCATTATAACTCGAGTTTCTTACAACACTAGCAGGCAGTAAATTCCAGTCTCTAAATTCCGGTCGCCGAGCAGATAGAATTTCGTCCAATGACCCCAAGCTACCCATCCTTATCGCTCGCGCGTAATTATATTGCTGTCGCGCACGCACACTCACAGCGGCCGTTCGTCGCACAGTCGTGAGTCGCGACAGCAGTATTATTACGCGCGAGGGATAAGGATGGGTAGCTTGGGGTCATTGGACGAAATTCTATTTACTCGGCGACCGGACTATAGTATTTTTCTTTAATAGATACATGTATAAGTGAAATTAATTAAAGCTTTATAGTCAATTGGGGTAACAGTGCCATTTTTTGAACAACAATATGCCTTATAACAAAATACTAAAAATAGTTATTCCACTAAATAATATTATTATAGATTTATACTGAGTTATATTTTACTAGTTACCGTCCTTGAGGATTATTCTATTGCTAGTATTTTGAATTGTTTAAATTGTGGTTGGTTAAAATAGGGTCGTGTCGGCTGTTAGCGTCCAAGTGACAAATCACTCTCAAAAAAAGTAAAAATTCATCTTTATAAGGTTTTTTGTGTGTTGGTATGGTTATTTTCTACTGTTTTTAAAGAGTAGCCTGTCGTTTGGAAGCGAATAGGCGATATTATCCTATTCAAGCATATTTTTGAGCAGTAGAATAATTTCAGAAGGAAATTAACTAGTAAAATATGACATTTTATAGATTAAGTGAGATGTTAACTGAGATAAATGGTTAAATTAAAATGTGGTATGGCTAGGGTGTGGTGGGTAAATATTTTTAATTTACCTGTTCGACAATGTAACATTCGACATTTAATCGCTAAGTCACGTGGCATACAAGTCGCCAAGTTACGTCACCGTCGTTTTTTTGCGATTTTATCGATGTACTTAAGGTACCTATACATAATGCTTGTATGGTTTTGGTTGTTAACGTATAACTTGTTTATAGTAAGTTTGAATGATCTTAATTTTATCACAATTTAAAATAGTTTTTTTGCTTTTATTTTAGCTTAATGTCGAGAAAAAGTTTAATGATTTTTTTAATCGAGAAGGACCAAATTTGCTTGTGGCATCAACCCAGTAAATGCGAATGCGATAGTCCTACAGGACCGTTATCTACAGTGGCGCCAACTGGAAAGCGCTGTAGTTAAGAATGTTTTTTTGTTTACAAAAAATTACGAAATAATGTAAAATATACTGGAGTTTGTTACTTCTTGGCTATTTTTTATCTAACCATGAAAATGACAGCTATATTTTTAATCAAGATTATGTACTTATTAATTTAAATTGCTAATTATGAAGTTTGTATGAGCCATGAGTAATGCAAAGATGAGCCCAGATTTTTAAACATTTGTGTTATCACACTTTTGTTTATTTTTAAAGAAAGGGTTTAATTATAAATAGGCTAATATGAATTATGTGTATTATTTATTACATAGGCATCGCGAAAGTGACATCACAGTCATTTATTTACTCGAATGAAGAAACTGGACTATATTTTTAATTCCTAATCATAGACTACTTAGAAGATTGTTGAAAAAAAGTTGTCTTTGATGTAATTATTTCGTTCCATCGATTTAACTGCGAGATTTTTTGTAATTATTAAATCTGAAATTAATTTTAGTTATTCGATTCGTTAACAAGACTACACTGTCCTAATCCAGTTAGAAACAAATGTTATTAATTTACCCGTTTTTTTCTTACCTAGAAATCTAGAATGCAAACCCAGAACCATAGAGTCGAAAAAAGTACAACTACCTTACCACTTAATCACGAGGGAACTTCACTTAAGCAAGCATCGTTTGTGAATACGGACAAAATTCTCTCGTGGTACAGTCGATGGAACGAAATAAAACCATTAGAAAGTACTGCTTGTGATTGTACTATGAACAGCACATCAAGCCACTAGCATCTTATGTACAGTCAGCGTCAATTAACAGTTCGTGACACCCAAAGCCTTTATGCGCCAATTGTCAAGCGGTCGCAATCTGCCAAATTCGCAAAATGTCACGTTTTAAAAATGTCTTTATATTACGGTTTTATGGTTTCATATTAAAAAAAAACTATCATTTTTAAAACTTGACATTTTGCGAATTTGCGCATTTAACATTTTGCGAATTTGGCAGATTGCGACCGCTTGACTATTTGCGAATTTGATAATTAGCGCATTTAGGACCCAAAGTGGCCAAAAAGTTCGCAACACGTCTTTGTTACAATTTGAATAAGGTGATGTAAATTTTTTGGCCACTTTGGGTGTCACGAACTATTTGACGCTGAAGAAAGCTTGATGCGATCTGTATACATAACGTTATACAGGGTGGAATTTTGTAATGCCACCTGGAGGGAAAGTACTCTTAATACTGTAGATAGAAAATTTTACTCAAAGAAAACATTCCTTTATTTTTGAAAAGAAATAGAACTGCATTCAAAGATTTCCAAAAATTTGTATGCTACACCCGGGAATCGAACCAACGAAAATTTGTTAAAAATTACACCATGTATTTTTATTGCATCGATCGTTAGAGTTAAGTTTATGGATGAAATCTCTCTAACAAAATGAAAGGAAAACCATGAAATCTTTAATTATTTTAATTATTTACAGAAAATTGTGTGGTATCTTTGTATCTTCAAAAATCTTTGAATGCAGTTCTCTTTGTTTTCAAAAATAAAGGAATGTTTTCTTTGAGTAAAATTTTCTATCTACAGTATTGAGAGTACTTTCCCTCCAGGTGGCATTACAAAATTCCACCCTGTATACTGTGCGGTTTTTATACTATTATAATCATGTCTCAAAGACGCGTCTGCAAATTGTAACATAGCACTTTATGTAAAATAAATATTTTTATTCATACTTAAATTGGGTTTCTATTTATTTATAACATTCTTTCTTTTTACTAATAAACCATTTTTTCGTACCTATTGCAATCTAACGAAGTTTTGTTATTAAAGATCTAGCGCATATCTCGGTGAGTTCCATAATTTGTGCCAATTTAAATCATTCATCATTCTTTCATTTTCATTATAATTTTATATTTTAAAATATAAACTGAAAAAAAAAATGGCTCAAAATTATCCCTTACCCTATTTATGAATTTGGAAAAATTACAATTTTGAAAATTGTCGCAAAATAAATCTTATAATAGTAAAAGTATGGGAGACATAATAAAAAATGAAATCACAATGTGTCATCATTTATTTGTAGACTTACAGTACAAATCACAAGTTTCAAGGATATGTGCTTCCTGGTATGTATAGTCCATGATGTTCGATCACAATTCACTTAAAACTAAAGAGTAAATAAAATCGCCAATAAATACTATAAATTATACAATTTGGAGATCCATTAAATAAATACGATTCTGAAACATAATAGGGTCATTATTTCATAAAAAAAAGTTTTAAAAAACCCGACTAGAATTCATTTTATGAGGCTCTAAAAAAGGAAGTAGCTAACGCCCGTATTCACAAACATTACTATGAGGTCTCACAGTGCGCGTGGATGCACAGGGTGACACACGAACCAATCACTCTATTCAACGTTGTGCGTTCGATTTGCTGCTTCACTTAAGCAAGCATCCCTTAACTCAGTGCCTACGGTATGGAAGTGGCACGGGAGGGGTGACGTTGACGTCTCAAAAACACCCTCCCGTGCCGCTACCATACTTCAAGCACTGAGTTAAGAGCTGGACCTATAGTTAGTCGACCAATAATTCTAAGGTACTAACTTCTCAAGGACAACAGATTTGAGACCTAAAAGTTCTTGAAAATCTGTTTTTAAGTAACTGAAAAATAGTGGGCTAAAAATTGTCAATTAACACCCTTCATAAATTCTGTGCCTGTACAAAATCTACAGGGTGTTAGGTAAATGGGTATATGAGCCGACACTAGCCCATGTTAACATGGGCATATAAATGGTATGGTGAAGTCAGAAATTTGATATCATCATTTTATTTTTTTATAAAATAAATTTTATAAAATCCGATTTGTATGAAAATTAAAATAATTAAAATGAAGATATCAATTTTCTGACTTCACCATTTATATGCCCACCATACCATTTATATGCACATGTTAACATGGGCTAGTGTCGGCTCATATACCCATTTACCTAACACCCTGTATAAGATGTTGTTTCGTGATGTATTTAAAAAAATGTTTATTCAAATTTATGTTTCAGAATCGGTAACATACTTAATAAAATGCCATTCAATGAAATGATTACAAAAATGAGATGAACGTAAATAAGATATGCACTAAAAATTAATAGAATAGAAATTGATAGATTAATTTTCTTTCATTTTTTGAGTGCTCAAAATTCGACTCAAACTTGAAACTCAAGTCTGTGATGCTTGAGCTTCTCAGAATTCAGGAAAGCGAAAAAAAAAACTGTTAAATCAATGAACAAAAAATCTTACAATAATTTAAAATAACCGTGTCAAAAATATGACTGACACACATATTATTATTATTACTTATTAATAATTATTATTCATTATTATCACAATGGAGATTGCTCTGAGTTACATATAAGAACACAAGCTGAATATAATATAGCGAGAAGTAGATTGTATAGTAAAATAATAAATAAAATATGCGCATTATGACAAAAATTGAAGTTTAAACACTAAAAGTATCTGATATTGTTGTCTGCCTTAGTTTGATAGCTGCTGATTGGTCAACCAGTTGTAATATTACAAAGATAAAATTTACAAAAAAAGAAGTTAAGGTAATGTCGCCTGTTAACGTCCACCTACCTATTTGCAAACAAACAACTGATTTCTTAAAAAAGGTGAAAAATACTATAGTGTCACCTGTCTTACATCCAGGAATACATAAATTCTTTTGTTGGTGTGTTGGTAGGGTTATCTCCACTGTTTTAATACAGTCTATCGTATGGACGCAAATAGGCGACTTGACCTTAGTATCTGGCACCCATTGTACAAGTTTAGATTAGATGCTCTGTGAAAAACTTCTAAAGCATATTTATTTCTATAGTTAATTTCATATAGCTGCTTATAAAATGCAATAGTACGAACCATCGGCAACAGTGTTAACTGCCCATTGCCAGTCATGTCATCTCGTTCTATCGCAAAGAATCACCATTTGATTAGAGCGAGAGCAAAAACCGAAATGGATAGTTAACAGTGTGGCCGTGTGTACATATAGATGTTAATTCTGTACTAGTAAAAAGTACAGAACAATTGGAATTTTGGAATTATTGGAAACTTCTAAAATATGGACGGTTCCATGTTTATCAACCATGATAAGAAGAAATAAAGGTAAAAATACATTGAAGTAACTAGAAGGAAAGTTTAGAAAGCCAGTACAAAGATTTCTATTATCCCTTACCCTCTAATGTACCAGAGGCAAATGGAGGATTTGTCCTACACTCCCCACGCTGGTCAGACGGGTTGGGGAGGCCTGATGTTCGCATAGGTACTTAAGTCAGAAATTTTGGATTGGAATATTATGGATGTATATTAGTATTCTTAATTATTAAATATTTTTCCACAAAACCGTGGATTTAAAAAGTCCCTCAAAATGACAAAATTTTTCGATCCAAAATATTTTCACATACCATTTTCTAGCAAATACTTTAAAAAAATCTTGTCACACTATTATTAGTATTATTGCAAAAATGTACTATAAAATTACGCTAAAAATTTACATGTGTGTGTGTAAAATTCATCTAAAATTCTTACCAACTACTATTTAGATTTGGAAAATATTTTTTTCTTTACAAATCGATTTTCAATAATTTATGAAATAAATATTTTTTTAAAGAGCAAAATATAATGAAGTAGAACGAGTATTACAAATTTTAGCATTGCATTTTTGTTTCATACACTGCTATTTTTTAGCTTAGATAATAGTATTTTTAGTGCCTTTTAACATTTGCTCTTCTTATAAAAAACAAAGGCAAACTGTTGTCTTCACATACTTTTATTTAACTGTTAACATAGTATAGGACAGCAAAATGTTTTTATTTCGATTTATTCCTTTTTAAGTATTTTTTTTATGAGTATAGTCACCTATTAAACATTTTTTAACTAAAAACAATGTTGTGTATACTTAAATCAAAGTTCAATTTTGTAAAAACCTACTCTGCTTTCAATTTACACTATTATATTCTTTACACAGTGATGTACTTTCCTCGACCACTATCCCGAATTCTAGCTCATTCACCTGACTCGGAATACAGCGAGCGAATATGAACTTTACCTCATAGACAATAGGTGCTTGTTTGCCTTGATGGCGGCGCGAAGTTTCTTGACTAGAGCCGACGGTTGTATGAGCACAGATACTTCGGTTCCGTGCATACATAGTCTGTTCATTTCTTCGTCGCCACCCTGTGAAGTATAAATCAAGGTAAAATTAACTTTATCTAAATATACAGGGTGGAAACGATAAGTGATCTCACACGATTATTTCTAAACATTTAGTATGGAAGCTGGAAACATTGAATTTTCAGATAGTTCCAGTTTATCTCTTATTGGTATCATTTGATAGAGCTCGTGAAGCACTTTCAGGATCAGTAACCAGTTTTTCGATAACTTGTATAGTTTAGAAATAATCGAGTGAGATCACTTATCGTTTCCACCCTGTATATAATTCAAAGGCGTCTGACTGACTGACATAATGATCTATCAACGCACAGCCCAAACCAAATGTTATTTTTAAGTTTTGCAACGCCTTCACTGGGCGTTCATGTACAAAATTATGTTCTATCAACCCTTACCACTGGACGGATCAGGCTAAAATTTGGCATGCAGATAGATGTTATGACGTAGGCATCCGCTAAGAAAGGATTTTACGAAAGTCCACCCCTAAGGGTAAAACGGGATCCACGCATACGAAGTCGCGGGCGGCCGCTAGTTTTGTTATAAATATAGCAAAAATTTTAATAATAAGAGTGTGGCAAGATCGTTGACCTTTTATTTTTATTTGGTTTATGGAGTCATTGACTTTAGACTACAAGGTTTCACAAGCTATAAAAAGGTCGTTGACCTTTGCTTTTTAGCAGGTAGATGAAGCATTGACCTCGGGTTCTCTTTTTCAAGTTTATCTTTACTTGGATGGAACACCTTGTCTAACAAGGCAAAGACCTCGGTTCACCTTGTTCATATGGTAAGGTCACTGACCTTAATTTACGACCAGATTCAAATATTGAGATTCTGATATTGACTCTCTTAATTTGAGAATAATTTCCAGCCCACTTCCCTGATCAGTCATTTGGTATCCATTTTTTTATAAGGTCATTGCCCTACACTGATTGATCAGGTTGATAGGACTGAAAATGACCTCAGTTGGTAAAAGATCATTAACCTTTAATAATTACTAACTGTAATTCCCTTGGTTACCCACCCTAGTTTCAATAAGTTTTTTATATTGCCTTATTAGACAATAAGCTTATTTAACTTTTTTTTTCATAACTAAGGTCAATGACCTCGGTTGGTTTACTCTAAGGCAGTATTTTTCCACCTGTGGGTCACGACCCCCCAGGGGGTCGCCAAGCCTCTACAGGGGGGTCGCGAAGCCTCTACAGGGGGGTCGCGAAGCCTCTACAGGGGGGTCGCGAGAGGTCGTAAAAACTACCTCAGTAAAGAACAATAAAGTTTTAAAGATAGAGACCGAGACCGGTTTCTGGTGGACTGTGCGGACATCTTAATATTGTAAGAACTTGTAGACCACTTTTTACGCAAAGAAACTGATTTGATTTGACCTAATTCGTCGCTGCCTCTCTAACTGACGTAACTGACATTTTGCAAAATTTTCAGGCGATTAGACAGTTCGATTCGTCTTTCGAAATTGATTAAGATGGTGTAGATAACTCGAGTTTCGAAAAAAATGTCAGATACGTCAGTTACAGAGGCAAGCGACGAATTATGCAAATGCATAAATGTTGTATGGATTGAAAAATTCGGTCCCTACAACATCTTTGTAACTTAAAAAATGCATGAAATAGAAAGCTAACAGTCGGGGGCGCGCAAAATATTTTTTCATACTAGGTCGTGTCATGAAAAAGGTTAAAAAAACTGCTCTAAGGTCATCGACCTCTACTGACCTTGATCAGGTTAATAGGTCGGTTGTTGACCTCGGTTTACCTTGCTTAATTTTTTTTAACAAACTTATTTAACTTTTTTCCATTACTAAGGTCATCGACCTCAACTGACCTTGATTAAGTTGATAGGTCGGTTGTTGACCTCGGTGACGGCCCATTTCCCGGGCGGCGGTATTGCGGCTCGCGCCGCCGGCGATTGGTCCTCGACCGATACTATGTTACATTCGACGTCTAGTTTTATTCCTGGAAATGGAGAAATTGATTTTGAACCTTGTGTCATTGCGATAGAGTTTAAAATACGTTGGCATATTTTTTACTTAAAGAAAGTCATTGATTTTGACTGAGTTTCTTCCGCCACTTCTTCTCAGCTACAGCCCATATGTTGTCCCTAAGTGGTGGTAGGGCAAGTTATGTATATTTGGGACGTGTATAAATGCCCTGGAAAGGGCCTATGTGCTGAATAAACTATATTGTTATTGTAGTAAAGTCCAAAATATATTGGCAAAGATTTCTAAACAAGTTGATAATGAACGCGCGATGGTGGCGATAGATTTTCAGATTTCAGTAAGTATGTTACACTTAGGCCCAGTTTTTTGATTCTTAGTTAAAATAAATAATTGTTAAATTTTGCTACTAATGGTTAAATAATAACAAAATGTGAACAAATAGTTAAAAAATTTACTAAAAGTCAAGCTAACCATTGTTAGAAAAACATTTTTTCTGATATTTAACCACTTGTCACTTTATTTGACATCTGTCAATTTTTTTTTAAAGATTATTAGTAATTTGTTATTACACAAATTACTAATACTCCCGTTAGCCCCTCGTACTAAGCTAAATATGCTTGTGTCACGAGTGAGCTCACCAATATAGTCGACCGGCGGCGGGGACCGAACCCATTGGTTATTTTAACTACGAATCAAAAAACCGGGCCTTAGGCTGAGTTGTACCATCTTACTTTAACTTTGACCAACGTCAAAAATCTGTCAAACTCCATACAAAAAACACCGGTCATTGTTGAAGTTGGTGCAACTCTCAACCTTACTGTCTATTTTTATACCCGAGTGCAGGGTAAAGATTTTAAACCTTTTAACGTCGGATTAAAGTTCAAAATATGTTAGTAAATATTTGAAGACGCGGTGTTGTTAATATTCAACTTAATAATCATAACAATAAGATTCAAAATATTATATTATAGTAAGAACTTAATAAACATTCTGTTAAGGTTATAGGTCTATCTCGCTGACGTTTGACGTTACAAAAACACCCTCCCGTGCCGCGCTGCCTCAGGCACTGACTGAGTTACATATTATGGTATTTATTTACCTATACTCTCGCGATCTTTCTTGGTTAGCACGTAGATTTTGGCTAGGGGCACCCGGTGAAATAATATGTCGACCTGTAAGAAAAAAACATGGTCAAAAAGCTATTTTATAAAACAACGAAAGAAAATATGACACCTATTTTATTATAGGAGTGGTTGATTTCAAATTATCAGGCCTCCCCAACCCGTCTGGCCAGCGTGGGGAGTGTAGGACAAGTTTGTCCCGGGGGAAAGTTAAACTGTCATTGGACCCGCAACGAAATTAAACAGAAGAACATAGGAGTTCGAAATGAAGGTTCGACTTCCCTCCATTGCAAAGCGGATGACAGGTGACAAAGGTTTAAAACCTTCAAGAAAAGATTATGCACCACGGACAATAAATATCAATTAAAGGGCCTATCTTATGACCAATTAGCAACTATAGTCTGGTCCGTGAGCACGTAGAATTTACAATGACCCCAAGCAACCCATCCTTATCGCTCGCGTGTAATTATGTTGCTATCGCGCTCGCACACTCACTGCGGGCGCCCGTCGCACAGTCGCGACAGCAATATAATTACGCGCGAGCGATAAGGATGGGTAGCTTGGGGTCATTGGACAAAATTCTACGTGCTCACAGACCGAGCTTTACCTGCCAATATTTATCACAAAGTCGCTTAAAAGCACGGACACTCACGATAGGCGTGGGCGAGGTCTTAAACAGTTGTCTAGCGTGCTGCAAGTCGCGCGGTTGCGTGCCTCTGATGGCTGCCAGGCGGTCGCCCGCCCGCCCACTGCAGCGGGAACCGCCCACCGCCCACCACGCTATCCTGGGGACAAAAATAAATATCTTTAGACAATTTCACACAGCGCTTATACAGGGTGTTAGGTAAATGGGCATATGAGCCGACACTAGCCCATGTTAACATGGTCATATAAATAGTATGGTGAAGTCAGAAATTTGATATCATCATTTTATTTTTTTAAATTTGAATACAAAATAAATTTTATAAAATCCGATTTGTATGAAAATTAAAATTATTAGAATGAAGATATCAATTTTCTGACTTCACCATACCATTTATATGACCATGTTAACATGGGCTAGTGTCGGCTCATATACCCATTTACCTAACACCCTGTATGCTTGTGTTATGGGTGCTAGCTTAACGGATATACTACATACAGGGTGGAATTTTGTAATGCCACCTGGAGGGAAAGTGCTCTTAAAACTGTAGATAAAACATTTTACTGAAGGTAAACATTCCTTTATTTTTGAAAAGAAAGAGAACTGCATTGCTTAAGTGCGATCACCCATCCAACTTCTGACCACTCCTTAAGGGACGCCTGGTTGACTCTAAGCTACACAGCTGGCTTGTGACGCGCTGGCGGTCGCTTGACTTCGACCCACCCATCTAACTTATGGAGACACTAAGATCACATAATCTTACTTAATTTCATAGAGCCTACTTTCTTAAAACAGAAGTGTCTTTTGGTCACCCATCCAACTTTATGACCACTCCTTAAGTTGCTTAACTCCGAGGGACGCCGCTTGACTCACAGCTGGCTTGTGACACGCTGGTCGCTTAACTACTACCCTCATAACTGACTTATGACGCTCTCTCACGGTCGCTTGACTACTTACCACGGTCGCTTGACTACTTACCACGGTCGCTTGACTATTTCCCACGGTCGCTTGACTACTTCCCACGGTCGCTTGACTACTTCCCACGGTCGCTTGACTATTTCCCACGGTCGCTTGACTACTTACCACGGTCGCTTGACTACTTCCCACGGTCGCTTGACTACTTCCCACGGTCGCTTGACTACTTACCACGGTCGCTTGACTACTTACCACGGTCGCTTGACTACTTACCACGGTCGCTTGACTACTTACCATGGTCGCTTAAGTACGGTCACCCATCCAACTTATGGCCACTCTTTAAGTTGCTTAACTCCGAGGGACGCCGCTTGATTCACAGCTGGCTTGTGACACGCTGGCTGTCGCTTCACTACCTAACCACGGTCGCTTGACTACTACTCATTCATCTAATTTATTTACAAGGTCACATAATCTTACTTATATAGTTTATATAGCGCCTATAGTTTCTTACTACAGCAGTGTCTTTTGGTCCAATTGTCACTTTTTTTTTTTTTTTTGAAGGGACGCGCACTGGTAGCTTGAGGAGCTTTTCCAGCTTCACCGGGCAGAGTGGCGAGTACAGAAGGTACTCTAGCCGTTTGGCGATCGTCGGTGCGCGTGCCGACGAGGCCGAGTGTGGGCTTCGCGAAGCGAAGCCCAGGCTCGTCCGCGTCGGTCCCAGACCGACGTTCGCGATCGGGCCGTATCGAGCGCATAAGGCGCCCGATCAGTGGCGAACCCAACTAGAGGGTTGCCCACCGCGGTGTTGGACCAAAGTCCAGCCTACGGCGGGCTCACTCTAGTGGGCCCGATCGAGGGGACTACGGACGCGGCCTGAGGGCGCCACGGTAGGCTCGGACCTCGGCTTAGGCCGGTCCGGGGGACGGATAGGGGCCAATTGTCACCAGCTTGGTTTGTCTATATATACTGGGCAGGGTAAAAAACTTCGTCACCGCGATGCAGGATTGTACGCGCGGTGGAGTCTGCCAGCCATAGTGGAGTAGTAACAGCGCCATCTGTTGGCGACTGTTGGGAGTTCTATGTTGCGGTCACCCATCCAACTTATGGCCACTCCTTAGGTTGCTTAACTTCGATCTACCGGTCACCCATCTAACTCTTGACCACTGTCAAGGTTGCTTGATTCTCGGTCACCCATCCAATTACTGACCACACCCAGGGATGCTTAACTTCCAACTTGCGGTCACCCATCAAACTTTTGACCTTTATCAAAGTAGCTCAATCCTAGATCCCTAAGTCGTTTCAAGGTTGCTTAAGTTTCCAACTTTCGGTCACCCATCCTACTTTTGATTCCTCCCAAGGTTGCTTAACTTTGATCTACCGGTCACCTATCCAACTCTTGACCACTGTCAAGGTTACAACTTCCGGTCACCCATCCAACTCTTGACCACTGTCAAGGTTACAATTTCCGGTCACTAATCCAACTTTTGACCACTGTCAAGGTTACAACTTCCGGTCACCCATCCAACTCTTGACCACTGTCAAGGTTACAACTTCCGGTCACCCATCCAACTCTTGACCACTGTCAAGGTTACAACTTCCGGTCACCCATCCAACTTTTGACCACTCTCAAAGTAGCTTAACTTTCGGTCACCCATCCAACTCTTGACCACTGTCAAGGTTACAATTTCCGGTCACTAATCCAACTTCTGACAATTATCAAGGTCGCTTAACTTCCGGTCACCCATCCAACTTTTGACCAAACTTTCGGTCACCCATCCAACTTTTGTCCATCCTCAATGTCGCTTAACTTCCGGTCACCCATCCAACTCTTGACCACTGTCAAGGTTACAACTTCCGGTCACCCATCCAACTTTTGACCACTCCCAAGGTACTTTACCCTAACTGTACTCACCACAGCTGGTCGTTGTGCTGGGCCAGCACGGGCGGCGCGTGGTGCGGCGCGGCGGCGGCGACGGCGGCGCACGCGCGCTGCTCGGCCGCCAGCAGGCGCGCCTGGCGCACCCGGAGCGGCACCAGCGGCGTCGGCGGCTGGCTTTGCCCTGGGAGCGGGCGCAGCTGGCGCGTGGCGCTGGCGGTCGCTTCACTACTACCCTCATAGTTGATTTGTGACACGCTCTGGAGGTCGCTAGACTACTATCCTCATAGTTAGTTTGTGACACACTGACGGTCGCTTCACTACTTACCACGGTCGCTTGACAACTTACCACGGTCGCTTGACTACTTACCGTGGTCGCTTAAGTGCCGGCGCTTGACTCACAGCTACACAGCTGGCTTGGGACGCGCTACTACACCCGCCCAGTAACTTATGGCGACCAAGCTAACAGAACAGCGCTGTATCCATCTTCTGTACCACATTTAAAGCAAATTAATGATGATACTGATTCTGACGGTCTATATATACTGGGCAGGGTAAAAAACTTCGTCACCGCGATGCAGGATCGTACGCGCGGTGGAGTCTGCCATAGTGGAGTAGTAACAGCGCCATCTGTTGGTGACTGTTGGGAGTTCTATGTTGCGGTCACCCATCCAATTTATGGCCATTTCCAAGGTTGCTTGATTCTCGGTCACCCATCCAACTTTTGACCATCCTCAAGGTTGCTTAACTTTCGGTCACCCATCCAACTTTTGACCATCCTCAAGGTTGCTTAACTTTCGGTCACCCATCCAACTTCTGACAATTATCAAGGTCGCTTAACTTTCGGTCACCCATCGAACTTTTGACCATCCTCAAAGTCACTTAACTTCCGGTCACCCATCCAACTTTTGACCACTGTCAAGGTTACAACTTCCGGTCACCCATCCAACTTCTGACAATTATCAAGGTCGCTTAACTTTCGGTCACCCATCGAACTTTTGACCATCTTCAAAGTCACTTAACTTCCGGTCACCCATCATACTTTTGACCACTGTCAAGGTTACAACTTCCGGTCACCCATCCAACTTTTGACCAGACTAACTTCTGGTCACCCATCCAACTTCTGACCACTCCCAAGGTACTTTACCCTAACTCCACTCACCACAGCTGGTCGTTGTGCTGGGCCAGCACGGGCGGCGCGTGGTGCGGCGCGGCGGCGGCGACGGCGGCGCACGCGCGCTGCTCGGCCGCCAGCAGGCGCGCCTGGCGCACCCGGAGCGGCACCAGCGGCGTCGGCGGCTGGCTTTGCCCTGGGAGCGGGCGCAGCTGGCGCGTGGCGCTGGCGGTCGCTTCACTACTACACACATAGCTGGCTTGTGGCGCTGGCGGTCGCTTCACTACTACACACATAGCTGGCTTGTGACGCGCTCTGGAGGTCGCTAGACTACTATCCTCATAGTTAGTTTGTGACACACTGACGGTCGCTTCACTACTTACCACGGTCGCTTCACTACTTACCACGGTCGCTTGACTACTTACCACGGTCGCTTCACTACTTACCACGGTCGCTTGACTACTTACCACGGTCGCTTGACTACTTACCACGGTCGCTTGACTACTTACCACGGTCGCTTGACTACTTTCCACGGTCGTTTGACTACTTACCACGGTCGCTTCACTACTTACCACGGTCGCTTCACTACTTACCACGGTCGCTTGACTACTTTCCATAGTCACTTAAATGCGGTCACCCATCGAAATTTTGACCACCCCAAGGTCGTTTAACATGCGGTCACCCATCTAACTTTTGACCATCTTCAAGCTTGCTTGATAACCGGTCACCCATCCAACTTTTGACCACTCCCAAGGTACTTTACCCTAACTCCACTCACCACAGCTGGTCGTTGTGCTGGGCCAGCACGGGCGGCGCGTGGTGCGGCGCGGCGGCGGCGACGGCGGCGCACGCGCGCTGCTCGGCCGCCAGCAGGCGCGCCTGGCGCACCCGGAGCGGCACCAGCGGCGTCGGCGGCTGGCTTTGCCCTGGGAGCGGGCGCAGCTGGCGCGTGGCGCTGGCGGTCGCTTCACTACTACTCATCCATCTAATTTATTTACATATACTAGTTTCTTACCACAGCAGTGTATTTCGGTCACCCATCCAACTATTGACTACACTCAAGGATGCTTAACCTCGATCTGCCAGAACAACTTACCAAGGTCGCTTAAATGCGGTCACCCATCCAATTTATGTCCTTACCAAAGGTTGCTTAGCTGGTCACCCATCCAACTTATGGCCACTCCTTAAGTTGCTTAACTTCGATCTACTGCCTCTACTGGTCACCCATCGAATTTTTGACCATCTTCAAGGTTGCTTGATTCTCGGTCACCCATCCTACTTTTAAACACTCCCAAGGTTGCTTAACTTACAACTTGCGGTCACCCATCCAACTTTTGACCTTTATCAAAGTAGCTTACCCAAGACCCTGGGCCGTTTCGAGGTGTCTTAATTTTCAACTTTCGGTCACCCATCCTACTTTTGAACAGTCCTAAGGTTGCTTAACTTTGATCTACCGGTCACCCATCCATCTTTTGACCAGACTAACTTCCGGTCACCCATCCAACTCTTGACCATGCTCAAAGTCGCTTAACTTCCGGTCACCCATCCAACTCTTGACCACTGTCAAGGTTACAACTTCCGGTCACCCATCCAACTTTTGTCCATCCTCAAGGTAGCTTGATCCTAGATTCATGACTAACCCTAACTGTACTCACCACAGCTGGTCGTTGTGCTGGGCCAGCACGGGCGGCGCGTGGTGCGGCGCGGCGGCGGCGACGGCGGCGCACGCGCGCTGCTCGGCCGCCAGCAGGCGCGCCTGGCGCACCCGGAGCGGCACCAGCGGCGTCGGCGGCTGGCTTTGCCCTGGGAGCGGGCGCAGCTGGCGCGTGGCGCTGGCGGTCGCTTCACTACTACACACATAGCTAGTTTGTGACATACGCTGGCGGTCGCTAGACTACTTACCACGGTCGCTTGACTACTTACCACGGTCGCTAGACTACTTACCACGGTGACTACTTACCATTAGTCGCTTGACTAATTACCATGGTCGCTTGACTACTACCCTCATAACTGACTTGTGACACGCTGGCGGTCGCTTGACTTCGACCCACCCTTCTAACTTATGGAGACACTAAGGGCACTCATAATCTTACTTAATTCTATAACGCTTGTAGTTTCTTACCACAACAGAGTGTCTTTTGGTCACCCATCCAACTATTGACTAGAACTTACTAACCTACCAAGGTCGCTTAAATGCGGTCCACCCATCCAACTTATGGCCCACTCTTTAAGTTGCTTAACTTCGAGGGACGCCGCTTGATTCACAGCTGGCTTGTGACACGCTGGCGGTCGCTTGACTACTACTCATCCATCTAATTTATTTACAAGGTCACATAATCTTACTTAATTCAATGGCGCCTATAGTTTCTTACTACAGCAGTGTCTTTTGGTCCAATTGTCACCAGCTTGGTTTGTCTATATATACTGGGCAGGGTAAAAAACTTCGTCACCGCGATGCAGGATTGTACGCGCGGTGGAGTCTGCCATAGAGGAGTAGTAACAGCGCCATCTGTTGGTAACTGTTGGGAGTTCTATGTTGCGGTCACCCATCCAACTTATGGCCACTCCTTAGGTTGCTTAACTTGGATCTACCGGTCACCCATCCCACTTTTAACAATCCTCAAGGTTGCTTAACTTTCGGTCACCCATCCAACTTTTGACAATTATCAAGGTCGCTTAACTTTCGGTCACCCATCCAACTTTTGACCATCCTCAAGGTTGCTTAACTTTCGGTCACCCATCCAACTTTTGACTATCCTCAAGGTTGCTTAACTTCCGGTCACCCATCCAACTTCTGACTTATTATTAAATACAAAAATTACACTTCTAATATTGTGTGTCTGGCATACATTTAGTATGGAAGCTGGAAACATTGAATTTTCAGATAGATCCAGTTTATTCTGTAACCTATTATTGGTACCGTTTAAAAGAACTCTTGAAGCACTTTCAGGATCAGTAACCAGGTTTTCAATATCTTGTATAGTTTAGAAATTATCGAGTGAGATCACTTAACGTTTCCACCCTGTATGTAGTAAGCAACATTGAAAAAACAGGATATCATACGGTGCATAACAAAAAAATATGGTCTAATTCGCATAAAAGCGCTGTTTTAAGAATTAAAGGCGACAATTAGTATGACAATAACTATACAAGTTAATTGACGCCGACTGCTATTTGTTCACAATTTGGTTGAAACATTGCATAACCTGAAGGGTTCTATATAACATACTTACAGAAAAGAAATAAATACTCATTTATTACGTAAATCGACTGTTAGTTTGTCCAGCAGTGGACGTCGTTTTCTGTGGCGAACGAATAAGTTGTAACGCGATACGCGGCTAGGAAATATTGAAATATTACTTGTTTGCCTGAATTTTTTTAATAATCTTTTTATAAAAAAAATAAAAAAATTCGACCGGGTTGCACCAGCCGTGGTCACAGGCTGACTGGAGTGTCGAGTGAGCGATCTGTATGGTGAGTAGAATCATGTAATTCTACCCCCATATTATTTCTTCTACCTTTTTAACTACCTGTTTAAATTAATTCAAATGCAACGCGAAAGATTAAAATTGATGATAGATATTAGAGATGAAACGGATATCCGGTAACTATCCGGTAGGCCGGATATCCGGCCTAAATTTACTATCCGGCCGGATACCGGATAGTAACTCACTATCCGGCCGGATACCGGATATTAAAAAACTACGACAATTTCCTATTAATAAAATGAAATACATTAATCTTTGAGGTAAACATAAATAAAATGGCTTATAATAATGACGGCTTTTATTTAAAGCCTTTAAAAAAACTAATTTCTTTTTCTGGGCTATTCACTCTAATGACGAATACATAAATAGTAAATATATGTTAGGTCGAAATATTGCCAAATAAAATAGGCGATCTTATTTTCACTAATGGTCTGATGTCATGATGCAGTTCAGTCAGATTATGCAGCAAGTAAACTAATTTAATTTTCACTTTTCAATCACACACTCACGATAGCAACCGAAATCGCCCGAATTGATCTGCCCCCTAGACAAGTGGCAAAATCTGACATTCTATTCGAACTAATTCGATTTTCGAAAAGTGTGACTAATATAGTCTTCTAATAGACCCACTGATCGCGTTCGAAGCACCTGTGCGGCGCTAAACTCGTCACGACATGCAACGAGACAATGGGCCAACTATCCGGCCGCCGGATATCCGGCTATCCGGCCTCGCAGCTGGCCGGATATCCGGTATCCGGTCAAACAACTATCCGTTTCATCTCTAATAGATATATTTACCGTTGCTAAGCGAGCTGCTTCTCCGTCGCGCGGCGTCGGGTCTCGCTTCGGGCCGCGAGCGCCGCACCACCTTCGTCGGCGCCGCGCCGCTCCTGCGGGCACCAGAGACATTTGAGTTTTACAGTTAAAACTAGGCATAGACTACCTAGTTACAAATACAAATATTTTATTTAAGCAAACACCGTTTGCATACTAGTATTGTCGTACTAAATTATGCCAATAGAGGTCGCCACTGAGCGAACTGTCTGTTTCGGTCCAACTCGACACGCGCCACAGAGCGCTCCGGTATTTTATTCAAATGTATACGTTTTATCAAATCCTGTGTAACCAAACCGTACTCAAAGTGACAATATATAACTGGTGTCTATTTATGTGTATCATTTACGAGACCCTGCACGAGCCTCACATCAAAAACACAACAACATTCAAATACAATTAAAGCCCGGTCCGTGAGCACGTAGAATTTTGTCCAATGACCCCAAGCTACCCATCCTTATCGCTCGCGCGTAATTATATTGCTGTCGCGACTGTGCGACGGGCACCCGCAGTGGGTGTGCGAGCGCGACAGCAACATAATAACGCGCGAGCGATAGGGATGGGTAGCTTGGGGTCATTGGACAAAATTCTACGTGCTCACGGACCAGACTATAGCGAGCGTAAACGCATCAACAGTGACAGTTCTGTCAACCCGCGCCGCCATATTTGCTTCATAGTTGACATTAATACATAGCAACATACTTCAAAATAGTGTGACAACAAAATAGTTTTTTGTAAAAAAAAATGTTTAATCTACATAATGACTAACCCCAATAGATTTTGAACTCTAACACATTTACTTAAAGTCCAAAATCACACACGCCTTTAATTGAGCTGAGCACTTTATATCCTGTCTCGTCGGATTTTGGACTTCACATCTTCGCTATAAGGTCTAAAATCAAGCTTCACTAACCTGTCATGAGGCGGTGGACTGTTCTTTCTTGCTAGCGAGCGCAGGCGTGTCAACAGTGACAGTTCTGTCAACCCGCGCCGCCATATTGGTTTGGCTGCCTCCGAGTTGTCTCTGTCTAGAGAGATAAAAATATCATCAGTTCATTTAGGTCACTTTCAAATAATAATAATAATTATTGCAAATAATTATGGTTACTGTAGATCTTACGATGAAGAGGTTCGACATATTCTGCTATAAAGTCCGGTCGCCGAGCAGATAGAATCTCGTCCAATGACCCCAAGCTACCCATCCTTGTCGCTCGCGCGTAACTATATTGCTGTCGCGGCTACGACAGGCGGCCGCAGTGAGTGTGCGAGGTTGGGATCATTGTACGAAATTCTATCTGCTCGGCGACCGGACTTTAGTTTCTTGACGTAGAAATTATAAACCTCTTAATAAAAAGTTACAACTAGGATGAACATTGGAATAAAATGATATTACCATACTAAATGACAATTTAAGCCAGAGTTTGGAGAAATAATTAAAATTAAAAATTATGTGCTGTCACTTGTTTTCTCTCACTCTCTTTGCAATAATCCTTATTATTTTATTTCAAAACTATAAAGTACTATAGATCAAGCTTTTAACTCAGTCAGAGGTATGGGAGCGACACGAGAAGTGTTTTTGTAACGTCAAACGTCAGCGAGACTTCAAATGTGCTTCAGATTTGAATGCTCTGTTACGTCATATGTCAATGTCACCCCTCCCATACCTCAAGCACTGAGTATGTTAATCGCTAAACCTACACTCAACATCAAATAAACCGCACCTTCTGCGACGCGAACTTTAAAGATTTTCTTCTGACACAATCATGATGCCCCAACAATATTGGTGTTATTTGAAAGCCCAATAAATATCCTTAAAGAAAAACACATTTAATTTCTAAATAAATGATTAACATATACCATAAATGTGACTTGAAAAGAGACCTCACTTTGGGCTCACCTCTGGGATCAATTAGACCAAATTTTATGATTATAAAACCAAATAATGATCACACGTGTCCTCTATAACAGATGGATACCGATTAATCCCAACTTAACAGTTTTATAGCCATAAAAGTTGGCTCAAGCGTAATAGCCTATTTTTTGAAGAAGTGACTCTGGATCCTTCTAAAGACACATTTTTGGGGTAAAAACCTTTCCTTTAATGAAATGAAGTTTAGAACTAGGATTTTGAATGGTACCAATATTGGTGTGAAGTGGGGATGCATACGTTTGAAAGTGCTTGTCGCGGGAGGTGCGATTTATTTGATGTCGAGTGTATTATAACTTACCATTGCTCCCTTCTCTCTTCGGACTTAAATTATTCACTCGTCTCACACTGTCCCTCCTTGGCGAATCGTACGCGTTTTGACTGTGCGACCGTTCCACATTCGACCTTGCTGCCCTCGTATTAAAGCTCACATTTCCCGCCACCGTCACGGCATTTTGGCTCCTATCTACATTAGAATTCACTTCTACCCTCCCGTTAGAGTCAGAATTTACTTCTACCCTCCCATTTTGCGTAGAATTCACTTCTACCCTCCCATTCTGATTCTGCGTTTCACCGTTCACTGTCACAGCTGTATTTGTATTTTGATTTTGATTTTGACTAGGGTATAAATATTCGTACGTCGTGTCACAATTAGACGTTTCTAAATTGGGCAACGATGATTTCCTTACTCGATCTAGCTTTTTCAATTTCGTCACCGCTTCGTTCGACGTCGACGCTAAACACAGTCGTTCGTAGACGCCATTTTTGTCTGTGCTGCTGTCATTGACATCTGTCAAGTTGACAGTTGTTGTCAAACTCAAATGGCCGTAGTCGTCCGTGAATACGGTCCCGTAGCCGTTTTCAGAGTTGACGTTGACTTCAGTGTTGACAATGTTCACGAATGACGTTTCGGTGTTGTTTTCTGGGTTTTGAGTGAAGTTGAAGTCGAAAATGTCAGTTTCTGGGCCGAGGACTGGTATGGCGGTGTGGGGTGGCTTGTTTGACACTTGGATGACAGTGATGTTGGTTGCTTGACAGTCGCTGGAAATAAAAATGGTGGATGATAGCACAGAGGAAACGATAAAATTACTATTATTAGTATATTGGCTTTAAATGCGCTTTTTACACATCCTAACATAGCTTTTAAACCTACAACTAAACCAGGACAAAAATGTGGGCCAGTGCTGAGAAGAAGCAGCGCAAGAAACTCAGTCACTATTTGTCAGTCACATTTACAATAAGTCACTATTGTTAAAATTAGTCCACTGGTTTAGGGGGTGGGTGTATAAAGGACGAGGCATAATTATCAACCCGGAAAGGGATCGTAACCGTATCAACTCGAGGCGGTCAATAGTATCTGTATGAAACTCCGTACCGTAACGTAAACGCCTCGCCTCGCGGCAAAAGGCGATACGATGTTGATAAGTGTACTTTTTTATACTATAAAACCGGACGGTATCCTCCAGTCTATAGCTGTTATCGAAGTGCCAGACTTAGGAGGTATTAAAAGAGATGTTGAGATGGCTCAGTTCAGATCATTTAGTCAGTTTCGTGTAATCTGCAATGGTCAGCAAACTTACCTCTGGTTGTCAGCAGTTGTAGCCATCTCGTCAGTAACCACCACCGTCTGCTTGTAGTTGTTGTCTATGTGTAGCCTCTCAACTGACCCGCTGACTCGATCCAACTCGCTGTAATGGTCAGCAAACTTACCCCTGGTTGTCAGCAGCCGTAGCCACCTCGTCAGCGACCTTGTAGCTGTTATAGAAGTGCAGAAAGCTAAGCTCCTTGGGAGTCTTTGGCTCTTTGGCTAAGTCTATTAAAGCCCGGTCTGTGAACTCGTAGAATTTTGTCCAATGACCCCAACTACCCATCCTTATCGCTCGCGCGTAATTATATTGCTGTCGCGACTGTGCGACGGGCGCCCGCAGTGAGTTTGCGAGTGCGACAGCAACATAATTACGTGCGAGCGATAAGGATGGGTAGCTTGGGGTCATTGGACAAAATTCTACGTGCTCGCAGATCAGACTATAGTGGCTGTAATCTGCAATGGTCAGCAAACTTACGGTTGGTTCTCAGCAGCCGTAGCCACTTCGTCAGCAACCATGACAGTCTGCTTGTAGTTGTTGTCTATGTGTAGCCTTTCAACTGATCCGGTAGCGCGGTCCAACTCGCTGAAGAATTCCTCGTCGCTGTCCGTTGTGTCTACGTTCCTGGTAAAATCAATTCAAAATTAAATTATTTATTTACACCAAAACATACTGTAATGCTGAAAACCATTTGTCAAGACAAGGTTTGTATGCAATGAAAACTTGTTTAAGCACTAGTTGTTTTTCAAAAGTTTTGACAGACATTACTCTATCGTTAACTGCATGTACACGCAAACACACAAGTAACGGCCGGTTCACACATGTCTCCGTTTTACTGTTCCGTTTTATCGTGTACGTTTTTTTTTCGTCGATGTATGTATGTATTACTGTATACAGAATACTGTGTCATGTGTGAAGACGCTCATACAACTACATACGCCATCGACGAAAAAAAACGTACACGATAAAACGGAACAGTAAAACGGAGACATGTGTGAACCGGCCGTAACGCTCACTCGCCTTCGTGAGTTGCAAAAACATACCGTTTCAATATAGAATCATCCAGGCATATGTTCTGTCCGCAGATCTTGGCCACGCTCTTCTTGGGCTCACTTTCTTGGCTTGTGCTTGGCACGGGGGTCGTTTCATCCCAGCTGGATATGTCTGGACAAGTTTCAGTCGATTATTATGTGATTTGGATGATATTAGACATGGTTTGTGGTAAATTTCTATTTGGTAGTATGTATTGCCCGAATCCAATGAAGGTTAGTATTGTAATGACGTTAAGTACATAAGGTCATTATTTTAGTCTCTATTGCATGAGCATGGCCCTCTAAAAATTGCCAGAGGCAAAATGCAATTAGCATATCGTTTCTTACCATAAATTCAAATAATTTATTAGTACAAAGGCCCTTTCTAGGGCGCTTAAACACGTCTCAAATAGAGCTTGCCCTACCACCACTTCGGGACAACATATGGGCTGGTGTTGAGAAGTGACGGAAGAAACTGGTGACATACCTTTCGACCACACAAAAAAAGCGCAAAGGCATAAAGTGTTAGAAAAGACGGAAAATAGATTTTCAGTTCAACTTTAAGAAATAATGCTATACAAAGAACATAATTTTGATTTAATTATTATTAAATTTGCCGAACAAGCTCTCTGAAATTTTGAGACATTATTGTTGAGCAACTTTTAAAATGCATATTAGAAAACATGTTGCAAGAATAGTTATATTGATATGAGTATGAGTATTACTGATGTACGTTCGGGTAAATTTGCTGTGCAATTAGTATATTTGATGAGAAAATAATATTATTGCACATCAAAGAATTTTTTTGTTGCGCCTTTGAGAAAAAAATATAGTACACTTTTGTTGTGTATTTTCGTATTATTTCTAGTACTAGTTTTGTTAAACAATTTGTTTATTTGCAATGAAATAATTTATTTGAACTATAATTTATTTAAATTGATGAAAATAAATTGATTTACGATAAGTTATCTGATGTGCGATTAATAATATCCTATTTAAAACAATCGTCGTTCGTCACACTCACACTCTTTCTCCTCTTTCACGCCTTATGTTCCGTTTCGCACTCATATCCTACATACCTATAGGTTGCGGCGGGTCTGGGACGGACGCGGGCGGCGGCGGCTCTGCGGGCGGCGCCCGGGCCGGCGGCGCCAACTCTATGCCCGGCACTCTGGAAGTTACAAGCGATTGTTATTGCATTTGGTGTGGGGCCGTTCAAGTATTACGTAAGCAGATTTCTTACCATTTTTTACCCCCCCGCCCCCCTTGTCATCAAAAGTAAGCAAAGCACTTACCCCCCTCCCCCTATGCTTACGTAAACATTTTTAGTTATGCGGACTACTACTCTCAAATTTCAATGGGCAGTGTCGGCACGAGAGTTAAATTAGACAAGTAAATAGCGCACGGTAATTTCCCTAATGTGCGGTAATTCTCCTAATCAGTTCTCAAAGCGAATGCCTACGCCTATGTATTATTTGCGGGAATCCCCGAAAAAACGTAAATAACTATCTGAGGAGCCAAGAGCCTACTCTCGTGTCGCTACTGGTAGGGGAGACATCGGGGCGTCTTATAGTCGGCTGCTATCTGAGGAGCCAAGAGGCTACTCTCGTCTCTACTGGTCGGGGTGACACCGGGGCGTCTTATAGTCGGCTGCTATCTGAGGAGCCAAGAGGCTACTNTTATCAGGGGGGCTAGGGGGACACTATCAGGGGGGTTAGGGGCCACTGTAGAGGGAGCGAGCCTAGGGGGCATTGTCAGGGGGCTGGGGGATACTACCAGGGGGACTACGGGGCACTAAGGGGCTCTGTCAGGGGACTACGGGGCACTATCAGAGGGGGATAAGCGCCGCTATCAGGGAGGATCTAGGACTGTAGGGGGAGCTAGGGACTGTCAAGAAGAGCTAGGGGTTTGCTAGGGGGCTACTTTCTGAAATTTAGGGGCATTGTCAGGAGGGAGTACTGATGATTACTTACCTGGTGACTAGGGATCACTGTCAAGAAGAGCTAGGGGTTTTCTAGAGTCTTGGGGGGGGGTTGTTATGGGCTACTCACCTATCAGGCGGCACAGGCGGTGTAGGCGGCAACGGTGACGTGGGATCCCTGGCTGCCGCGCGGGGGGCGGGGGCGGCGGGCGCGGCGCAGTACACATTCTCGCCCTTAGAGAGGATACGGAGCTCGTGCAGCTTGTTGCGGAGAGGCTGCTCTCGTGGCTCTACTGGTCGAGGTGGTGAGGGGTGTCTAATAGTCGGATACCGACTGAGGAGCCAAGGGACTACTAGTTGGGGGATTAAGGCAGATGTAAGGGGGCTTAGGAGAATGTTAAGGGGCTACGAGACATGTTAGGGGGTATGGGGTAAATGACATGTGACCTAGGTGTCACTGTCAGGGAAGGACTAAGGGCACTCTTAGTGGTTGGTTAGGGAGGTCACTGACAGGGAGTTAGGGGGCCACTGTCAGGGAGGGACTAAAAGCACTCTTAGTGGCTATGAGGTCACTGACAAGGGGGTTAGGGGCACAGTCAAGGTAGTAAGGGGACACTATCAAGTAGTAAGGGGCATTGTTAGAGGGACTAGGAGGCACTGTCAAGGTAGTAAGGGGACACTGTCAAGGTAGAAAGGGGGCACTGTCAAGTTAGAAAGGGGCATTGACAGAGGGGCTAGGAGGCACTGTCAGAGAGGTTTAAGGGGCACTATCAGAAGGTGCTAGGGGGCATTGTCGAGCGGCTAGGGGGCATTATTAAGAAGAGCTAGGGGTTTACTAGAGGGGGTTAGGGGGCACTAATTATCTACTTACCTATCGGGCGGTACAGATGGTGTAGGCGGCAACGGTGACGCGGGATAAGCGCCGCTATCAGGGAGGATCGACTGTCAAGAAGAGCTAGGGGTTTGCTAGGGGGCTACTTTCTGAAATTTAGGGGCATTGTCAGGAGGGGGTACTGATGATTACTTACCTGGGGACTAGGGATCACTGTCAAGAAGAGCTAGGGGTTTGCTAGAGTCTTGGGGGGGGTTGTTATGGGCTACTTACCTATCAGGCGGCACAGGCGGTGTAGGCGGCAACGGTGACGTGGGATCCCTGGCTGCCGCGCGGGGGGCGGGGGCGGCGGGAGCGGCGCAGTACACATTCTCGCCCTTAGAGAGGATACGGAGCTCGTGCGGGCTACTGACTAACAGGAGACTACTAGCGGGAGGGCTACTGTTATAGAGGCTACTCTCGGTGGAGGATGCTCTATTGGTAGAGGATGCTACACGTTGGACAGCAACTCGAGCGGGCTACTGCTAGAGGCTGCTCTTATGGCTCTACTGGTCGAGGTGGTGAGGGGTGTCTAATAGTCGGCCACTAACTGAGGAGCCAAGGGACTACTGGCATGGTCTTAGGGGAATGCTAGGGGGCTACTGAAAATGTCAGTGAGAGCTCAGGGTCACTGTCAGGGGGTTAGGGGCCTTTCAGGGAGATGGGGCTAGGGGAATGTAAGAGGCACTAAGGGCATCCTTAGTGGCTAGGGAAGTCACTGACAGGGGGTTAGGGGGCCACTGTCAGGGAGATACTAGGGGAGTGGCCCCTAGGGGGGATCTGGCATTCACTGTAGGGGGAGCTAAGGGAGCTTGAGGTCTATTAGGGGTTATTGTAGGGGGAGCTAGGGGTCACTGTCAGGGGGCTAGGGGGGCACTATCAGGGGGAGATAAGGGTCACTGTTAGGGTAGCTAAGGGGCACTCTTACAGGGGGTTAGGGGGCACTGTCATGGAGACACTTTTAGAGGAAGGCAGCTAGGGGCTACTCACCTATCAGGCGGCACGGGCGGTGTAGGCGGCAACGGTGACGTGGGATCCCTGGCTGCCGCGCGGGGGGCGGGGGCGGCGGGAGCGGCGCAGTACACATTCTCGCCCTTAGAGAGGATACGGAGCTCGTGCGGGCTACTGACTAACAGGAGACTACTAGCGGGAGGGCTACTGTTATAGAGGCTACTCTCGGTGGAGGATGCTCTATTGGTGGAGGATGCTACACGTTGGACAGGATGCGCAGCTCGAGCGGGCTACTGCTAGAGGCTGCTCTTATGGCTCTACTGGTCGAGGTGGTGAGGGGTGTCTAATAGTCGGATACTGTCTGAGGAGCCAAGGGACTACTAGTTGGGGGATTAAGGCAGATGTAAGGGGGCTTAGGGGAATGTTAAGGGGCTATGGAAAAAGTTAGGGGGTATGGGGTATATGACAGTGAGAGCTCGGTGTCACTGTCAGGGAAGGACTAAGGGCTAGGGAAGTCACTGACAAGGTAGGGCATTGTCAAGATAGTAAGAGGGCACTGTCAAGGTAGTAAGGCGACACTATCAAGGTAGTAAGGGGCATTGTTAGAGGGACTAGGAGGCACTGTCAAGGTAGTAAGGGGACACTGTCAAAGTAGTAAGGGGACACTGTCAAGGTAGTAAGGCGACACTATCAAGGTAGAAAGGGGGCACTGTTAAGGTAATAAGGGGCACTATCAAGGTAGTAAGGGGACACTATCAAGGTAGAAAGGGGACACTATCAGGGTAGTAAGGGGACACTTTCAAGGTAGTAAGGGGCACTATCAGGGGGGCCAGGGGCACTCTCATTGGGGTTAGGGGAAATGTCAAGGGGATAGGGGTTAATGTCGAGGGGCTAGGGGCCTTTTCAGGAAGAGAGCTAGTTGTCACAGCTTACCTATCAGGCGGTACAGGTGGTGTAGGCGGCAACGGTGACGTGGGATCTCTGGCTGCCGCGCGGGGGGCGGGGGCGGCGGGAGCGGCGCAGTACACATTCTCGCCCTTAGAGAGGATACGGAGCTCGAGCGGGCTACTGACTAACAGGAGACTACTAGCGGGAGGGCTACTGTTATAAATGCTACTCTCGGTGGAGGATGCTCTATTGGTGGAGGATGCTACACGTTGGACAGGATGCGCAGCTCGAGCGGGCTACTGCTAGAGGCTGCTCTTATGGCTCTACTGGTCGAGGTGGTGAGGGTTGTCTAATAGTCGGATACTGTCTGAGGCAGTAGACTAGTGGCATGGGGATTAGGGGAAACGCAAGGGGTTTAAAGAAATGTCAGGGGGGTAGGGGAATGTCAGTGAGAGCTCAGGGTCACTGTCAGGGGGTTAGGGGCCACTTTCAGGGGGATAGGGCTAAGGACATGTAAGGGAGGCACTAAGGGCACCCTTAGTGGCTAGGGAAGTCACTGACAGGGCGTTAGGGGGCCTGTGTAAGAGGGTTAGGGGGGTACCAGGGGAGCTAGGGGCCACTTTCAGGGGGGATCTGGGATTCACAGTAGGGGGAGCTAAGGATCATTGTCAAGGGGGCTAGGGATCACTGTCAAGAAGAGCTAGGGGTTTGCAGGGATTTAGGGGGCACTGTCATAATAAACGGTGTATTGAATATTGCTAGGGGTTTGCTAGAGGGGCTACTGACTAGAGGGGCTATTGTTGGCTACTTACCTATCAGGCGGCACGGGCGGTGTAGGCGGTAACGGTGACGTGGGATCTCTGGCTGCCGCGCGGGGGGCGGGGGCGGCGGGCGCGGCGCAGTACACATTCTCGCCCTTAGAGAGGATACGGAGCTCGTGCAGCTTGTTGCGGATNCTGTCAGGGGGGCTAGGGATCACTGTCAGGGGGCTAGGGATCACTGTCAGGGGGGCTAGGGATCACTGTCAGGGGGGCTAGGGGGGCACTATCAGGGGAGATAAGGGGCTCTGTCAAGGGAGATCTAAGAGGCACTGTAGGGGGAGCTAGAGGGCACTTTTAGAGGAAGGAAGCTAGGGGCTACTCACCTATCAGGCGGTACAGGCGGTGTAGGCGGCAACGGTGACGTGGGATCCCTGATTGCCGCGCGGGGGGCGGGGGCGGCGGGCGCGGCGCAGTACACATTCTCGCCCTTAGAGAGGATACGGAGCTCGAGCAGCTTGTTGCGGAGAGACTGCTTTCATGGCTCTACTGGTTGAGGTGGTGAGGGGTGTCTAATAGTCGGATACTGTCTGAGAATACATGGGATGTCAAGGAGTAAGGGGGTTTAGTAGAATGTCAAGAGGTATGGGATAAATGACATGGTTTGGGGAAATGTTAAGGGAACTCGGGAATATGTCAAGAAGATTTGGAAAATATCAGGGGATTGGGGAAAATCTCAGAGGGATTAGGGAAAGTCTCAGGGGGCTATGGGAAAAGTCAAG